GAGGTTCCCTGGCCTACAAATCTTTTTCTTTAGATGTGAGAAAACATTTTTGTTTGGTACAGACTCATCATTTCACCATCATGTTTTTAATAGTGTTTTAAGTGAAAATTTTATTTGTGATGCAAAAATGATAATTCCTGCTATAATTGTGAATCATACTGCAGTCACAATATCTGTCAAAATAATCGCAATGTGATGCATTTACCACATCATGCAGTCCAAGTTTAAAGGAATCGGAACAGTAAAACTTGCAGGGTGCTGAAATATCTAAAATATCAGTCAAATAAACAATATTTGCACTGGCCTCTGGCTCTAACTGTGGTGCAGTTTTATATTATATTATACAATGAGTCAAAATAAGACAACACGTTTCAGATACATTTTTAAATAACTTTATTCTGTAAGAATTCTCAAATGTGTTTTAAGAAATTCAAGGATGGTTTCTTTTTTTTATACAATTCCTCTTTGAATAAAATATGATGCTTTTTCAAATTGCATTGGGTTGCTTTTAAAACGGACACCTGAAATTATCTATTTACAAAAGTAATCTGTTAACAATTCTATTAGAATTCATTTTGACAGTGTACTCGATCCTCCGTCTCACGACTCCACCCGGCCCCACAACCTCAAAATACTTTTTATTCAATTTTAATTACAATGTTTTGCTAGGTACAAAATATGCTGTTTTACAATTTGAATCAAGTCTTTTTTTATTCCATCTTCATATTGCTGACAACGTGGGAGTATATACAGGGGGAAGGGGGGGACTGGTGTCATGTGATCTGATGCGGAGCCTCCAGCATCTCCATCAGGAAGGTGTCGATAGGCGTGTCCCCGATCAGCTTGAAGAAGAACAGATGCTCCAGACACTTGAGGCCGATGGAGCGCAGGGCGGGCAGGCGGAGTAGCAGCTTGGCAAACCTGCCAGAAGGGATGAAAAGGAGAAAAAAGTGCTATCATCATTTCCTATTATGTAGAAAATCATTATCATGTTTACCATTCAAATTCTATAAAACTGTATCAAAACTTTAGTTACAATATTTCTTGATTGAACTACATTTACTACTACAATTGTAGTTACTAGTTACTTAATTTATCAAGATTTATGTGTTTGCATTTCACTGTTTGATTTGCATATTATCAAACAGTGTATTTAGTCAGACCTAGTACCACCTACAACTTCACTTAAAAAAATGCTGCATACATCTGAAAGCATCTGTAGTTTAACACTCCTCCTCCTGAAATTGACTTTTACTTTAAGTTTAATTTACTAACGTTAATTTTGAATGCAAAACGTTGACTTTTAATACAGTGCTTTTACATAACATTATCAATATTTTTTTTTACAATAGGGTAATATTTTATATTTAATGTTATTCAAATTGCTGTTGTGCTATCAATTATAACTTTAAGTGTCCACAGCATTAAATTGAAATTGAAAGCTCTTATCTCACCTTTGATCTTACTTAGCTCCCAACAGTAAATAAAAATAATCAATCGCAACAACCTGCACTCCCTTTAAATGTAATGCAAGTCAAAGTGTTTAAGTTATGTAAGGTTCGGTAACGTATCTGCACACTTCACTGTACTGTGCAACACAAGGCAGCAATTAAATAATGGTATTTGATATTGATTGAGGCTGTAATGGTATGCGTTTCCTACCTTCCAGGCTGGTCTGGGTATTTCTGTTTTGTGTACGATTCCAATGAGGCATAAACTTTTTCCCTCAGCCCCTCAACCTCTGGTGGGTTTGAAAGACCTTTTGCATCTGAAACAAACACATACTCACAATCAGGCCAAACTTAAACTGATAAAACATTAAAGCCACATCTCAAAGCCACGGCGTCTTTACTGGAAAATGGAGGCTGAGCTGACCTGGGTTGAAGAGGACGATGGCTCGCAGGCAGCCGAGCTCTGTCTTATCCATCTGCATATCTTTCATTTTAGATACCAACTCTGTCAGGACTCTGCGGGGGATCAAATGAATAACATTAGAGAGTGTTGACAATGAAGGTTAATAGACCGAAAACACAAAATATATACTTTCTCCCCATTTCTTTTTAAAGCCCCCACCCACACTCCCAACCTTCCACCAGTTTGTTACATGCACCATCAGAGACAATAAGACCTTGG